TAATAAAATAACTTTGGTAAAAGTTAAAGTCTCCTCTAAAAATATTACTTGAGTAGAAGTCTTAAAGTATCTGATTTATTTTGTACTTATCAAAAGTAAATTTCTGACAAAAGTGTACTTAAGTATTAAAAATAAAAGTATTGAGTAAAAATGAGAGGTTAGATTTTTCAAATACATTTTTTAAAGTAATGCAGCTGTGATGGGTTGTGTACAAACTAACATGTGTCAGAATGGTAAATACTTATACTTCTCATCCAACCACAATTAAATTCAAAGGCACAGTTTATCGGGATATAATTTTTTTAACAGAATGAAATAGGAGTAGTGACTTTCTACTTCTTACTTTTTTAAAAAAATGTAGGGAGTAGAAAGTACAGATAATTGTGTAAAAATGTAAGGAGTAGAAGTAAAAAGTAGACTGAAAAAAATTACTCAAGTAAAGTACAAATAGCCATATGTTCTACTTAAGTACAGTAACAAAGTATTTGTACTTAGTTACTTTACAACTCTGTTTACAACGTTTCACAAGTTGTAAAGTGTACTGCCACATGTCCTTTTGGAGAATACAACAATGTAAGTGTCAAGTATAAATGCCTACTCTGCTATTGAGGGTGCGCAACACACAAAGCACTAGTATAACCTAGCCTTGAGTAGGGCRTACACATTGGGACAGCCTAAGGCCAGAGCCGGCACTTGGCATAAGTGAACTAGGCGGTCGCCTAGAGCGCCATCTGCTGGAGGGGGCGCCAAACTGCAGAAGAAAAAAAGTAATTGTTTGTAATCCCTGGTTGTAACTCTGCTCAGTGCCCCTTTCAATTTGCTTTGTCTTAAAAAAAAACTATAATGAAGTATTACAGGAAAAATAAACTACCCTACCCATAAAACATCCACCCCACCACAATGCAGCAAATGCCCCCACCCTCTCTCTCATTTGACTGACAGGTTGGATGTTGGCTATTTAATGTTATTTATTGTTTTTTTTTTAATCATCTTACAGGCTCTGACATGTTAGATACATTTGAAAATGAGGTTTTGAAAAACTCCGAAAGACTTGAAAAAAAAATCCATGAGATTGCCCTATACGTCCGTGCACCTGCAAAATGACATAAAATCCTTGTAAACTTACGGACAATCTGTACAAGTTGACACTTATGTTGTTATTTATTTGCTTTCTGGGAAAGCAAAAAATCTAAGTTTACCATAGTACCTTTCACTGTCAAACTTGTTTTTAGGGGTTCAAATTAGGGTGGGTGGGACATAGTTCGGGGGCTTGCACTTCAACTCGCCTAGGGCATCAAAATGGCTAGAGCCAGCACTGTTAGTGGCCCACAAAAGCTGCCTACATCGGCTGCAACCCCATGAATTGAGACACAGCCRTAGACTCTTTCCTAATACGAAAATCCCAAAATCTCCTGGCTTGGCGGAGAACAACRCTTTTTCAGTACCCCAATATTATTGCTTGGAAACAGGAGAATAAAATAAGTATTCTTTTTGAAGCCATGATTCACAAAGACACACAATGGAACTTAAAGATTTTATTTCCCCCTCGTCAGCTATGAGGTCCAGTTTGTGAATTCTGTGAGGGAGCAGAGGGTCCCTGGCAGTGCCTGGTCCTTCCGTCTCACTGGGAGTTTGAGGTTGCCGCTGGAGGACGTGATTGGCTGACTTGTGTGTGTGTTTGTGTGTGTGTGGAAGAACCGAGCTGCTCTCAGTCGGCAGAGAGCAGTGCAGCTGGAGAGCAGCTCTCTCTACGACACCCGCAGCCTCCAGCTCCAAGGAAAGACGCGACGACTAAAAAGGGCGTCTTTTTTTCTTTTTTTTCTTTTATTATTCTTTTGTTCATTTTATTTTAACGTTTACTATTTATTCATTCGCCCTCAAAACACAAGATGTGACTCGTCCGAGCCCAGCTGTATTCATGTGTGTGAACAGAGCCCGGAGGAGCGAGTGCGCACAGACGAGAAGAAGAAGAAGAAGAAGAGCTGCTCGAGCGAATGGAACTTATTGTTGTGCGTTTGTTTGGACTATGAGCCACTTTGGGTCCACTTCGTCTCTGTCCGTCGACCCTTGAACTGTGGGATTTATTATCCGACCACTTTCGAAGGAGGAGGATTCTGCTGTAGACCCCAGCGCGAAGCTTTTCTCTCTCCTTTTTTTTTTTCTCTCCTCCACAGAGTCGGGATTTAAATAGTCAGTTGGTGGAGCCCCGGAGAGGCGAAGAGGGAAAGAAAAGAAATTCATGTGGCCGTTCTCTCTATAGCCAAAAACACGTACATATTTTGGAGGGGGGGATTGAATAATGAGCAAGGAAAGACCCAAGAGGAATATCATTCAGAAGAGATACGTAAGTAAAATGCGCACAAAACGCAGTCGGCTCTATTCAAGTTTGCCTCGGCGAGAAAAGAAAAAAGCTTAACTTTTCATCTCCGGGTTTTTGAAGGTTAACATCCGCCAGCTTCCTTAATATTTGAGCCTATTATCCTTTAAAATGCATCGGCTACGAGTTGTGTTACGGTGTGAGCGAGAATATGTTTGAATTGTAAAGAAATGGCTGTTTGTTTAGACGATTCTTCGACATCAGACATGTTCGAGGCGGTTCGCTTCGGAGGTGAACGCTCTTTTTTTGTTGTCGTTTCGCCTGTTTTGGAGAGGATGCACCGACCGTGCCTCTGTTGTGATGTGGGGGCTTTAAAATGTGGGGTTTAAATGAGCCGATTTGACGAAGCGGGAGGTTTTTTTTCTTTTCTTTTAGGTTTTGTTTGTTCGCCCCTCGTTTTCAGGCTGTTKTGTTGAAGACGGAGGCTTGTCGGCCATGGCAGCTCGGGCTTCATTTCGGCTCCCATTTCGTCCCATGCTGAGCGTTTCATCAGCTTTTTTTTTTTTTAAAGCTAAGCTCTTAAAGAAGAGGTTAAACAACTCAAAGCATTATGACTTTTTTTTAAAGCGTGTAAATAGCTCGTGTCTCGSTTTGAAGTGAAGCTCCACCTCGACACGTTTCGCCGCGGCTCTTTAAATATTTTTTTTAGCTACTCCATGAAGCAGGAAAAAAGGAGGCTCAGGCGGTTCTTTCGTCAATTCAATGAATTTCAGCTGTGTGGGGTTGGCTTAAAACGCGCTTTCCTTTGCTGTTAATCCACCTGGAAGACGCGACGTGTGTCAGGTTTTGCAGAAATGTTCTGTGACCTCTGAAGGAAGCAGATACGTTGCAGCAGCTCGCCTTCATTTTTGCAGCTTAGCCTCCACCATCCTTTAGGAAAAGGGGGGTCATCACCTGAATTAGCATTAAACCGCACCGATTCTAGGCCTATATGCATGTGAACGGCGTGTTCCCTAAATGACCCAGTCCTTTTTTCGTTTTCTTTTTCTTTTTTTTTTTAAACAGGCTGTGTAGTCGCATTGCAGAGGCTTATGTTATGTATGAAGCGACCATTTTTTTTTTTTTTTTTTTTTTTTTTTTTTTTTTTTCAGAGGAAGAGACCAAGCCTGGGCTGTGAACATTTCCACCAAGTGTTTGCTTTTAAAGCTCCTGTTGGATGAAAATATATGTCCACCTTCATTACAAAGGCAAAAGCAATTCATCTCATAAAGCCTGACTGGTTGARCATATGAGCTACCACCATCTTCTCTCTCTCTCTCTTTCCCCCTCTGTCTTTGAAACAGGCCGGACCCCTGGGGGCCCCTCACTGACTGGAGATTTGTTTTTTAAAGTTTTGTTACACTTCTTTTGATGTGCAGATTGTTGCTGTGAATATTCGCCCCCCACCAAACGATACATTACTGTTTAACTCTGCATCTGAAGTTAACAGAGCAAAGCTGCAAAACACCATGTGGAGAGGCTCCCAACAACTCCTGCAGGCCATTTGCTTTAAGAATTTAACAATAAAACAAAAGCAATTACAGCAAAAAAATCTTATGAAAGTAGGCAACAGGTTTGCATTTGTAATTCTTACAGAATACATATTTAAATCCCCTTTTTTTTAGCCTGTAAATACATTTCGTTCTATACTTGGAGTTTCTAGGAGTGCAGAAAATCAGATTTTAGTCTCTCGCGGTGCTGCATAGATATATTTACATTCTGTTTGAGTCATATCTTTTAACCCGTTTAGTTTGATATATTTTGTATGATATTTTCTGAGCTTTTACGCCAAAGTATTTGCGACAGAACAACTTTATTTGGTAGTTCCCTCGCAAATATTTTGACGTTATATTAATTTGATAATAAGTTTCAGTATAGCTATATAGTCATAAACCCCTCCATCAAGTTACTATCAAATGGACCGGTCTGGAAGCTGGAGGGGTTGCAGGGCATGTAGCGCCTTGTTTGGATTCAAAGAGACAGCCTCAAATTGAGTTGATCTGAGACACCTCAGAAAAGGGGTGAAAGAGGGGCTTGTGGAGTTACAGTAAGGATGAGTTCTATTTTATATATACCCCAACTGAGCGATTTAAATGTAAAAAAAAAATAAAAGCAGGATATGTTTCCTTTTAAAGGTTTATGTGGTAAAAGGAAGTGTGACGTGACGTTTTTCCTCATGTTTTTAATTTKCTATAAATAACACAGAAAAAGTGGCACCAAATGCTTTAAATTTGTCACTTTTATCTCTTTAGGAAGTGGCTTAAAATTCTACATCTGCATGACCTCTCATGGCCAACAGATGTTCTTTTCTCTGTTCTTTTCAGCACATCAGTGTCAGTAGCACGATGTGCTGATGGATCGACCTTTATTTGAAAAAAGCAGCACAATGTGACTCAAGTCAAAGGAGACAGATGTTTTGAAAAACATCAGCTTTGACTCGATGTATTAAACCATGAGATATATTTTGCTGGCCGTGACMGAGTAGTTTCAGTTACATTAGTGGTGTTTAACCATAATTTCCTGCTGCTCGTTGCTACGTGTAAGTCTAATGAATGGAAGAAACCGGGACCTGTGGGGGGGTGGAACCATGATTCACTTCAACCAGAACTGCCTGGCCAGCGTTGAGACAGTTTTCTAAAACTCGAAAAATGGTGAAACTGCGTGCCAAACCGCAGGAGGCCCTCATCCGTCATGTGTCTGTGTGTCGCATCTGTCACGTGTTTCTGGCAGCTGTGGTTGATGCATAATGTCTGGCCCAGACCAAAGTAATCAAAAGCTCAAAACGTGCATTTTTTTACGACGACGACGGGGAAGTCAACCCCCCCCCCCCCTCTGATATTAAAATAGCCGCACACATCCGATAACGACTTGGGTTGAAAATCTATTGCACTTCGAGTGTGTCACACAAAAAGAGGAAACAAAAATAGAGCGCAAGGGCAAGAGTGGTGGGTGAGGAGACCCACGCTCTCTCCCACCACCTCCTCTCCTTGTTTCCTTCAAAATAAACACAAAACATGTATTTTTATAACAAGGGGAGGGAGCGTGGGGGATTCCAGCTCTTCAAGTCCCCCCTCCAGGCTTTGAGGGGAGGACTCATGGCCCTTACTGATCCCCCCCACCCCCCTTCTACCTCCCCCTAATTAGCGTAAGACAATTATACATGCTTGGCTTAACCATTTCCCCAGAAACACGAGTGTGAGTTCTTACCCCTTAACCCCCACCCTGCGCACCTAACAAACACTCGCTGCTAGCGAATGATATTAAAATTTACTAGTCATTAAATAGCTGAAATATAGGGGGATATCTTCTAATAAAAAAGTTAGGGTTTTTTTTTTTTAAAGGAAATGCCTCGTCAACCTTTTCCTCAAAGGGTTGCTGATGTGTGTTCCATTGTCCCAAATTTCTGTTTCGGTTAGCGTTGAGCCGTGTGGTTTAGGGAAAGAGGACTTGAGCAACAAACAAGGTATCAAGAACGAACGTGTGCCAGTGTTCTGTCTGAAATACTGTGACACAAACTGTGTGTTTGTTTTGTGTGTGTGTGTGTGTGTGTGTGTGTGTGTGTGTGTGTGTGTGTGTGTGTGTGTGTGTGTGTTGGAGGGGCTGTTGAAAAATAAATTGTGTTTGTGATCCCAGCGTGTCCCTAAACAATACAGAGGGAGT